TTGTTTTAAAACGAATTAGTTTGTCAAACTTCGGTCGGGTGGCCCTCGATGAAGAAATATCAATTCCTGAACGACAGCTAATAAATTATTATTAATCTTTAATCTATATTTATTACCTGAGCAATCAAGTATGCTTAAGAGCCTTTTACCAAATGTGGTTCATCAATCAATACTAACGTAGCAACGTAAGCCGCACCGAATATGATAATGAGAATATTACCTATTCACGGGCTTATTGTCCCGGAAAATTGAAAAATAGTATCGGCCCGGGCTTATATGTGATTCATTTATTCATTGAAACATATGGCTGGAACAATGCGAGGTAATATGCTGTTTATGAAATAGTATTTAGGTCTGATAAACTGACTGCAGATTCGAATGGACTTTGGGATGCAAATGAAATATTTATATATATATATATAGTATCGGAATAGAGAAGCCGTATTAATCCCAGGCTGTGATGTAATTGTATATGAATCTAAAACAATATCATCGATTTCCTTCAAAGTTAGAAAGTTTAATAATAGAGATAGTAGAATGTATTTATATACACAGGGAAGATTGAAAAGCTACAATTTTATAAAGATCGAAATAGAACCGTTAATCACTTTAATAACTAAGGTATGAAGGTTTACAAACTAAGGTATGAAGTAAATATATAAATGACCAGCACTTTTATAGTATTACATTCGTCGCATCCTTTAGGTATTTGCACATTTAAGAATTTAAAATGTTATTTGTCTCGAAACTGTAATTTCACTATTTCTTTACCCTAAATATCTAAATACAACACAATATCTTAGATATTGATAGTTAATTGTAAACATTTTGGTTTTGATTAGGATTTCGAAATTGCATTCAAGAATTCTGTCGTTTAACCTGTTATCACCGTTGAATTTTATTGTCTGTAATATGTATTGTAAATCAATATAAAGAAATATGAAGAAATAGTTAAACAAAAAGATCCAATTACAGATTGTCTCTTAGACAAGATGAACGAATACAATATGAAGAAATAGATAAAATAAAATGTTCTACTAATAGATAATGTAGAGAGAAGACGAGAACAGCTGTGTAATTATGTGTCCAATTGTAAACAACAAAGATTTCGAAATTGCATTCAAGAATTCTGTCGTCTAACCTGTTATCACCGTTGAATTTTATTGTCTGTAATATGTATTGTAAATTAATATAAAGAAATACGAAGAAATAGTTAAACAAAAAGATCCAATTACAGATTGTCTCTTAGACAAGATGACCGAATACAATATGAAGAAATAGATAAAATAAAATGTTCTACTAAAAGATAATGTAGAGAAAAGACGAGAACAGCTGTGTAATTATGTGTCCAATTGTAAACAACAAAGATAATCAAACAATATGATTACGCAACGCACAAAATATTAAACATATGTGTAGTTTTAGCATATACCTAAGCTCGTTTACACACTCAAATCACACTTTGCAAGCACATGTTGGAAGTTCATGTTATTAAACGTTATCAGGATGATTGATGCTTAACCCAATTTCGCAGCACAGATGCCACCCACCCGATACCGAACTACCGTATTTAGTAATAATGCGCCTCTCTAATTATGGGTAATTAGCGGCATATCGACAATACTTAATTAACCGATCGTTAAATTAATTACTACTATAGACGCTACAACGATATTATAAGCGTGACAAACTATGAAAATCCTATTTTACATGCCGATTGTAATATTTCATTTCCCGAATTAGGTTAATCAAAATTTCTTATAAGAAATGACTTAATAATTTTAGTTTTACTATAATTTCACGATCACGATATACTTATCGTATTATTATTGCGTTTTTGGTAAATTGTTTATTATACTCTAAAAGTTTACTAAATTAATCTATTAAATTTTTCTTTATGAAAGAAGGCTGTTGTACAAAATATATCGAGTTGCACATCTGTGGCATAGCGCAAATGTTCTCTTAAAGATAAATTATAAATTTCACCTGTGTCAACGAATACTAACAACAATATAACTACTGATTAAATTCTGCAAATAATTAAATAAACTTATATACAGACGATCAAAAATAGCAGTGGCTTGTTGCCTCTTAAAATAAATATTTTAGTTGCGAATAAATTGAAACGGACACGAACACAGCGTTCTCTTTCGCAATTGCACGAGCCTGGCCATAACGAAATATATGGACATCAGTCCAAAATAGGAAATGCAACTCCACTGAAAGTGGCAGCTTGGAAATTTATGCCCAACAATCGCGTAAGAGTATCGCAATAAACTTTACAAAAAAGCCATAAGCCAGCCGGGGGTCCTTTAAAACCAATTTGTCCCGAGTTTACGATCGCGGTTAACGTATCAAACAATGAGCGAAAGTATTGTGTTTTTATACCGTTTAAGTTTGATCGTTTACCTACCCATAACTCTTTTATTGGCCTCAATAAAATTTGTATCTTTAAATGCATCTCCAAATCGTTTCCCTAGCTCTTCATCCGTATCAAATTCGTTATCGATTTCGTATTGTGTAAGTATTTTTACATCGTATGTAATAACGTTTCGTGGAAACCTTTAATTACAAGATGATTTTATATGGCCCTCTCGGAACGTAATGTTTGGACATAACATGTAATTATTATTGGGAAGAGTTCGAGCATATTGTTGTAACTTTGTAGGCAATTAGGGCGAGTCGTTTTTGTCTCCAATGACATTGTGTTTCTGGGAAGGTTGTTGTTTGTTTAACACACGTGGGAGTTCCTTCGTGTTGTCTTTTGAGTGCCGTTTTGGATGCATGTGTCGACCTCGAGTTAAATTAACCGGAAACTTAAGGGGAAATAGTTAAGATTCCGTGCAGGTCTGTTGCAGTCACTCAGAAAGTTAAACATGCCACCCTGTTATTTACAAACTATCGCTCAAAATAAACGGGGAATGGGAATTTGGGAAACAATCGTGATCGAATTCAATTTACTAGAAATAGTGTGCACGAAAGGAAAATATTGATGGGAATAAAAGAAAAACAAACAACGTTCAAGTTTCAATACATAATAGTTGTATATTACTTTTTAATACATCAGAACTTCAGAAATCATCACAAATCTTGATTGCTATTACATAAAAAGTGTTCGAGTGCCAGTAGCCAACAATGTAATCGATAAAGATGGATTCTATTAAAAACAGGTTAGAATAACAACAATACGATCGGAATGACACAGCGGCTTTGCAGTGTCAAGATTCAAACAAAGCCCCGTCCCAAAGCTGGTTCAGAAAAAGAAATAGACGTGTGTAAGAATAGTAGAGATGTAAATTACGTAAAAACTGAATATAAACGGGCGGGCCCAGTATCTTTTGATAGTATAATGGGGACGTGCGTGCCACAGATGGAGTCGGAGGGATCGCACGGGTGGTCCACCGTGGTTAGACTATTTAAATATTTTTTTTTTCTTATTATTTGCCATCAGTGTTTGGTGATTTATATTTGTTTAACACGAAGGTGTTGGGACAACAAGGTGTGATTTGTTGACTCTTTATTGGCTATCGATTACACTGCCCTCGTTATTCTAGATTTTTTATTTTTGTTTTCTTTACAAATATCTTCTAAGTTCTTTTTACTTTGAATTATCACTTTTAATCAACATTAACCAATACACCGGTTAGTTATTAATCAATTTTTTATATCAGTATTCATGTTATTAAATACCATCCCAGTAATTATTAACCTTTCGATTAAGGAAAATTAATTGGATACTTGCTTATTAGTTTAGTTTTCGTGCTCATATAGGTACTAGCAATTAATTTAGTTATTGGAAGTAATACAAGAAGATTTATTGAACACCTTTACAATATCGCTAAGAATTTCAATAATCCACACTAGGAATTGGCAAACACTTTTTTTTTTTAAATTTTTCGTAATAAACCTTTTTTAGAACACTATATAAATTACATTATAAGTGTACTTTAGTGACAACAAATTCATTTCTGATATATTTTCAAGTTTATTTTAAATTTATAAACAGTAACAGATTAAGACTTAAGAGCAATCAATTTGAATGATTCTCAACAAATCGTATCGTTACATTCAAACGTTGGCCCTTTACAGTTCTAATTGGACGAATCATCGTCAATTTAAGCTTTATTCTCGTCAGTTATCTTAGTAAATAAATTGTTCACTTATCCAACTTATGTTTGTATAACTTGTTCGAATCACAAATATCCACAAATAATTCCATTTTATATTTCCAATTGTAGGACGTACGAATGGGATCATTATTGGATCTATCAGTCAGGTTCACTGACTCGAGTTATTGTGGTACGGTTTCGTAAGTGATTGTGTTCTCGTGTTCAGATTTCCTTCTATTAACTCGTTGTGCTTTACAGTTTAATAATTGTTTGCTTCGTATTTATAGATTTTAGGATACTTTTTTGATTTTTTGTTATTTCACACATAACAACAGATTTTCACAATTTCAAATTTGGAGGACAATCTTTATACACTTCTAAACTGCAGCTATGACACAATTGTATGTTTTCGTCGCTTATAAGTTTTGAAGAAAACTTTTAGATTCTGAGGAAAAATTAGGCATGTAATGAAGTCCAATAATAATTTTATTTTCCAAAACTGAAAATAATAATTCAATAGTATTAAGAATTTTTTATTAGGTTTTGGATCAGCCTTGATATTACTCGATTTTAACACTTTAATAACATACAAGAGTTCGTTAATTTCCAATCTGTATTCGGCTACACAACTTAAATATAAATTCTGATATAAATATTATTCATTGATATTTAAATTTCCATTCTGATGCCCACTGATTTTTGCATCGACGATTCGAAACAAATTAATCTCGAATGATGAGATCAACGGTCGAATGCTACCCTCACTGTTATCATATATATGGAAATGCCGCAACCATGTTCCATTAAACGCATATAAAGCCTCTGACCGCAGTGCGTTACTTTACCGTTTATATCACAATACCTTGGGCAATCCAAAACACAAACACTTACGTTGATCGAAGAAGCAGCGATCCAGACCATTCATAACGTTGCTAACAACCGCATAGTGCACTAAAACACACTTATGTTACGTTCACAACTTGCACTTAGTGACGTCACACTCAAAACAAATCACAGCGTATGCGTTCTCACTCGGTCACTGCACAACGTCAGGGCGGGTGCTAAGGTTATAAGGAGATGTTAAGGGCGTGTTGCCGATTCGGCGGTCGGCGCGCGACTGAGTGCGCGCGGCGCCACTAGGAGGGGTGGGGACAGCCGGGACGCGGGCGGGGGTGCGTGCGTTCGGAATCCACTTCCCACGTGGTCGGCAGCCGTCCCTTTCTTGCAGGATGGGTTAGCTTTTTAAAAGCACGGCCCGTCGACGCATCGATACGCCCGGGGCGATGTTTTGCTGTAACCTTGTTTATATGCACTGCAGCTAATAATAACACGCGAATAACACTCAAGTGCGCGCTTGTTTTGTTTTTTTTTTTTTATTGTATGTATGTTACAGTTAAGTGGCGAGCTAAGTTCCGATGTTTGTTTTCGCACTTCCGATACATTCGCACCCGGGTGTATCCTGTTTTGTAAATAAAGTATTCACCTCTGTAGGATTATTTTATTTGTGTTTTATAAATTGTTTTAATTGTTTTAAACAAAAAAAATTACGTTGTAATTCTAATTAAATTAGTCAAAAGTCACCAGCCATCTCTTTGACTTACATATCATTTACGTTTATACGTAATATATATATTACTAAAACAAAACAAATAAATAAAGAAATAGAAACACAGAAACACACAAACGAAGCAACTAAAATGAGAGCTTGTAAAAAAAAAAAATAAAGCAAATCTATTATATTTCACTTTCTATCAAGTGGTTTTTTTTTTTTTTTTATATACAACTTAGAATGGCAAACAAGCTGACGGCTCACCTGATGGAAAGTGGTAATCGTCGCCTATAGACATGAGCAGTACCATGGACATAACAGAGTATACTGTTTCGCCCATGCGTTGCCATTCCTGAGGACTCAGGTGTTATTCCTCTGTACCCAGTAAATTCACGCTATATCCCACCCTTCAAACCGAAACACAGCCATGCAAACACAACTGCTTCACGGTTGAAACACGAATGGGACAGAGGTACCCAAGCAATCGACTTTTGTACAAAGTCTCCCTCTGGTAAGGTTCTAGCTAATACGATCTCTAAACTTAAAAACAGGAGTATAATAATGAAAATATTTTACATTGTAATACGACATCTTATTACAGTATCAGCACTGGAATTCAATATAACCTATAACTAACGTGTGGGTTTGATTCCGTCGTAAATCACAAAATATTACGTCGTAAAACGTGGAATACTTCTAATAATGTACGCAAAAAAGCTTTTTTTTTTATTATTTTTTATGATGTAAATCCCCATAACTGAATGGAAAAAGATAACTTCCATCAGGGGCATGTAAGACAAAAGGGTGTGGATGGACGAATCAAAAACGTTAATGTATTTCTTGAAATAGCTATTTCGGTCGCAGCCTACACCGGTCTTATCGCGTTGTCACTCATCACGGGGGATTACAACTTGTTTTTCTTTTACTTTTTAACTTAACTCCAAAACTCGAGTTGAGTCATAGTTGAAAACTTTTTAAGTATCCATACATTCGATATTGATTTACGATAGGTAAAAGTTTTTGTCCAAAACACCATTTTAAGTTCTGCATCTGTGCACATGTGTTCTTTTTTTTCTGTACAAGCAAAAAGTAGTACGTCGTACACGTTCTTTAGTGATTTGTAAACGGATATGTTGCTGAGATTGTGCCTTTAATTGTCAAAGCAAAAAATGACAGCAGTGAAAAATGGCGTTAGCAATCGAGGGGTCAGGTTATAACAATTGTTCGAAGTTTAAAAATGCTGTACGTTTTTATACCGGAGGGAGATTAGACCATGCAACATCGTACACGCAATCTATTTTGTAGCAGAAATAAGCATTGTGGATGATTTTAATAAAGTCGCCATCAAAGCGAATATCTATCTATCTACTGAGACAATTAAGGCAGTGAGAATGAAATTTCAGAGTACTGTGAATCATATTTTTATACCAGAGGGAGACTATACAAAAGTTGATTGCTTGGGTACCTCTATCTCGTTCGTGTTTCAACCGTGAAGCAGTTGTGTTTGCATGGTTGTGTTTCGGTTTGAAGGGTGGGATATGGCGTGAGTTTACAGGATACAGAGGAATAACACCTGAGCCCTCAGGAATGGCAACGCATGGGGGGTATCATGGGCGAAACAGTATACTCTGTTATGTCCATGGTACTGCTCGTGTCTATCGGCGACGATTACCACTTTCCATCAGGTGGGCCGTCAGCTTGTTTGCCATTCTAAGTTGTATATAAAAAAAAGCTTCTTAGTACGGTAGCATTTTTTAATTTTATTACCGCGGTACTCTTGTTTTTTAAAAACAGATTTGAAATGTAAAATTCTTTCTTATTGTCTGAAAGTATATACTTTTACATTTGTCTACTAGAAATTTCATCGAAATCCGGTCTTAATAGTTTGTTTTTTAAATTAAAATAACTGGTTGTCCCCTTATTAACGTCGGTGCTTTTTTCGTATACGAGTATATTGTTGCCAATTTTGTTTATTGTTAAGTTTGTTGAATAAAATAGAGAATAGAATAGAAATAATCTCTATTCTAATGAATTTGTTGACAAAGAGCTTGTCATTCTTTCAAATTGACATTTTTTGGGGGATAGGAGTTTGTTAGCAATGCGGACTACCGGTTACATTGCTAGCAATATACCCTATCAGACCGATCTCCATGTGGTGCCCCCTGGAAACCATCGTGTTAAATTCCAGATGTATTCCGCACGATGGGCTAACTGACCTGCCTTTACATTCTCACCTATCATCCCTCACTGGTGCCCCGCCAGCGTATACCGTTAGCGCAGGCGGGGTTACCATTCCATTGTCATCCACTAAAAAAATCGTCATTTTTTTATACAACTTAGAATGGCAAACAAGCTGACGGCCCACCTGATGGAAAGTGGTAACCGTCGCCTATAGACATGAGCAGTACCATGGACATAACAGATTATGCTGTTTCGCCCATGATACTCCCCATGCGTTGCCATTCCTGAGGACTCAGGTGTTATTCCTCTGTACCCAGTAAATTCACGCCATATCCCACCCTTCAAACCAAAACACAGCCATGCAAACACAGCTGCTTCACGGTAGAAACACGAATGGGACAGAGGTACCCAAGCAATCGACTTTTGTACTAAGTCTCCCTCCCTCCCTCTTTTATGATTTCTACTGTTCGGTTCGGAATATTATTATCTGCTGAGAAGAACTCGCGAAAAACTCAACAGTTACCCTTTTCAATTTCTTTATGTATTACTTAAAGATAATTTTACATTTGTATGGCTACCGGTACTGGAGTCTCTTTGCAATGGGCTGGTCACATAGCTCGAAGAAACGACAACCGATGGGGAAGAAAGGTTCTTGAGTGGCGACCGCGTACGGGTAAACGCAGTGTATGACGACCCCCCCTCCCCTTCACTATATGGAGTGACGACCTGAAATGGATTGCAGGGAGTAAGTGGATATGGCTCATGACCGTTCTTTATGGCAGTCTATGGGGGAGGCTTATGTCCAGCAGTGGACGGATGATGGCTGAAATGATGATAAGTACTGTGATTTTAATTAGCACTGAGTTCTATTTATATATGTATTATTCAGATTTTCAAATGTATTATGCGAGGTTCAGCAAACAATTAATATGTCTATTTGCATTATAATGGCCATGTTATTATAGACATAGTATATTTAAAAAAATACACACAATGTTAACAGAGTTTTAAAAGAGTAACTGTTGAGTTTCTTGCGGGCTCTTCACAACAGATAACAACTTTCCGAAGCTTGCAGTAGATTAAAAAAAAATGACGATTCAAAAGTGCTTATAAATAAGTCTATTTGAATAAAGATGAATTTGTTTTTTATTTTTTTTTGGAAGAGAAATTTGAATTTTGAATTTGAATGTTGGTGTGGGTAGAAACTCCCACGTATGTATTAAGTGAAGCTGTTGCAAAATATTTTTCTCTTATGTTAATAATATACGATTATAATACTTAATATATATATATATATATATATATATATTTTACCCCCGTTTAGGTGTAGTCGTATATTTCTGTAAAATAAAGTTTCTTTCTTTCTTTATGATACAAGCTTAGAATAATTTGAGAAAAGTTAACGCTGTCTAATAAATCCATGATTGGTTTATTAAAAAAAAAAAAACTTTAATTGTGACAAAACCAGTTACTTTTGATTTAAAACTTTAAACTACTAAACTAATTTTAATAAAATTTCTACAGGACTAATCTGTAAATATATCCTTTCAAATAAAAAAAAAATAGTTTTCCAAATCGGTTTAGAAATGACGAAGTTATTAGGTAACAAATTTAAAAAAGAAACAATCGAATTGAAAACCACCTTCGCGAGGTCGGTTGAAACAGTAAATATGTTTTAACCATACGTACTGCATGATCGTATCATTGGTCTAATCGAGAACTTCTTCAGTTTTATAAGTCGGTTAAAAATAACAGACGGCTATTAAAAAACCGACACAAACCACCCACTTACAAAGTCCATATTCATATTTAGCTTAGACTACATTATCTTTATTTTCATTCAAGAGGCAAAACAACCTCGAGTGTCCCAGATCATTCTCCTCTAGACATCGAATAACTTATTTATAGCCCCCGTTATTTCTGTCAATTAAAACCACTTAGCAAAACCATCAATGTGAAACGCCATTAGGATACCGATGTGAAGTAACGCACGGGACAAACGCGTTTAATCTAATAAATAAACAACAGTGGGACATCTCACGCGGAGCGATTAAGGGGTTAACTGCGTACTGCATGCCACTCTTTTTTTTTTAATGGCTGATAATGGAATGGTAACCCCACCCGCGCTATCGGTATACACCGGCGAGGCACCAGTGAAGGATGATAGGTGAGGATGAAGCAGGCTAGTTAGCCCATCGTGTCGAATTCAACAAGAATTGTTCATGATAGTTTCCAGGGGGAACCACGTGGAGGTCGACCTAATAGGGTATATTGCTAGCAATGGGGCTGTCAAACCCCTTAATGAGCTCGACTTACAACCACATTTAAACATACAGGGAGGAAAAGACTGTTAGTATTGGGATTCTAATAGCTCCATTGCTAGCAATAGGGCGATC